ATTAGACTATATACCAACCATGCTAACTGAGTGGTTGTGTAGACATGTCTGATCAATAGGACTACTGCTTCGTCCCATCAACAGTGTACACAGCCTATCTCGTAGTAAATAGTGACGGACAATATTTTGGATACACCCTCTTAAAGGTACATGCGCATCACATCATAACACCCGAGTAGCTACTACTGCCCAGGATCCCCAGTCCCATGTCTACGATCAGGTGCTTGGTAGTCTTGACTAGCGAGGGAGCTCACAGATGATATTATCCTGAATATTGGGGATGACCTAAGGGTATTATTGCTGAATTATTAATCCAGAAGTGAGCTAATGCTCTGGTGACACTGGTTCAAATCCTGCCATGCAGATGGTGGAATTTGAATTCAATAATAAATCTGGAATCAAGAATCTAATGATGACCGTGAAACCATTGTCGATGGTTGGGGGTTGGGGGGGGGGCAAAAAATAATCTGGTTCACTAATGTCCTTTAGGGAAGGAAACTGCCCTCCTTACCTGCTCCGGCCTACATGTGACTCCAGACCCACAGCAATGTGGCTGACTCTGAACTGCCCTCTGGGCAATTAGGGATGGGCAATAAATGCTGCCTGGTCAGCGATGTCCACATCCCATGAATGAATAAATTAATCTGAATGAACAAATGACTTAAAATGAGGAAGGATTGGGAGAGAAGAGGTCAGGTAATGATCTGGATATTCTAAATACTTTTGCCGAGATGCATCTACTGATTTGCAGAGGTGATTGAATTTCCAAAAGGCTTCATTGTCTGCGAGTTGCTTTGGAACATCCTGAGGTCATATAAACTCCTATGGAAGTATAAATGATTTCTTTATTCAAAATGCAGGGTGGAGGCACACATAGGTAGGAAATGATGTGAATCTTATTTTGGTTAAAGGTCATTGACCAAAAAGCCATTGTTAGGATGAAGTCTATTGTGTTTCGTGCCAACAGGTGTAAGGCTTAAGTGACCTGCTGGATTAGTGTGGTCTGATAAATTGTAAACCCAACCCTTAAACAGTGAGGCTCACCGATCACATTCAGTGAGCAAAGCTGTGGTTGCTCAGCACCTAAATGCAACCTCTTATCTTGACCCTCTGGCACCTGAGAGAATGTCAGAAATGCCATCAAGGATAAAACCTAACCCACATATATCATTGCACCACAGTGCAGTTTCTCTGAGTAATGATCTTGGTTCAGTTGATAGCTTTCTCGCCTCCCTGTCAGAGGGTTGTGGGTTTAGGACTGATTCAATGTCTTGAACAAGTAATCCAGGCTAACACTTCTGGGCATTGCAGAGGGAGCACTGACCTGGCATTTTATTAAAGAGACATTAAATTAAAGTCTTGTCTTACCACTGAGATGGAAATGCTGATTCCAATGGCATGTGTTTATAGAGAACTCGAGCATTTATGGGCCAACATTTAGCTCTCAACCAACATCATAACAATAATCTGGTTATTTATCAGACATTGTTATTCGTGGTATCTTGCTGTGTGTGGATTGGCTGCTGATTTTCCTACTTTACAGCAGTGATAACACTTTGAAATTAGTTCATTGACTGTGAAGTACTTTGGGATGATCTGAGGATGTGAAAGATGCTATATTAATGCAAGTTTGTTCTTTCGTCATCATTGCTTGGGTGTTAGTTCAGTCAGTGTTGTGGTTGGAACCAGATGTATCTCATTGACTATGAGATCCTTGATTGGGGTTGTTAACCTGGGCCAATCAGGAAGCTCTGGCTGACCAATATAACCAGGGGATTTAGAATCTCCTTAGTTCGGGGGGACTGACTCTGAGCTGCCTGGCCACAGTCAGTGTACTGTGCACCAGTAACTAAAGGATGATTTAGTGACAGGCTACTGGTCTTGGTGCAGTTATTTCAGTTAGTTAGATGGCTGGTTTATAATGCAGAGTGATGCTAACAGCATGGGTTCAATTCCTGCAGCGGCTGAGGTTACCAAGAAGGACTGTCCTTCTCAACCTTTCCCCTCACCTGAGGCATAGTGACCATCAGGTTAAACCAACATCAGTCATCTCTCTAATGAATTTGATGATGGTGACTTTTTTTTAAATTTAACCTATTTTTCCCAATCAGCCTGTTCATAGATGTTATTAGACGCCTCTGCAGCATGTGAAACTTGAACCTAAGCCCCTTGGCCCAGGGGCAGGGACACTACCACTGTGCCACAAGATGGCCATGGTGACGTTATTAGGGTACTGACAGGTGAAAAAAAAAGCTGGTCTGATGAGACATTGACAGCCTGTCTGTGTAGTTTTTAAACAAAAATGACTAGCATAGACAATCTTGACAGGTGGATGTAGAGGGTGTTTCCTTTTGTAGGAGAATCCAAAACTAGGGGAGATAAAAGATTGCTTATTTAAAGCGGAAATGAGGAGTATTTTTTTCCTGAGAGTTGTGAGTCTTTGGAATATTTTTAACCTAGAGATGGAAAGATTCTTGACATGAAAGGGGGAGAAATGTTATTGGGAGTAATCAGATTAGTTATAATCTTAGTGAATGGCAGGTCAGGCTGGAGGAGTTCGGTGATCTACTCCTACTCCTAATTTGTATTCATATTTCCAGTGCATCTTTCACATAGCAAAACTCCTGAAGGCACTTCACTGGAGAGTAATCAAACTACATTTTGATACCAAGCTAGACAAGGAGATATTGGTAACCAAATCTTTGTCAAAGAGAGTCTCAAATCTGTGCCCCCACTATAGGTTTCTATGTTCAGGAGGCAAAGATAGAGGAGAAGTAAACAGAAGAAGAGAGAGATTACAATGACAGCGTGGAGATACAACAGTATATGTTTACAGTAAACAAGGTGTGATAGCAACTGGAATGAGGTCTGTGGTTAACAAATATTTTGCAACAAATAACGTCCCAGGCTACTTTGATGTTCCTATGCTACCTGTAGTGAAAGTTTAGGTCTCCCTTCTACTGAGAGCAATGTGGTTGCTGCCTGACCATACAGGGCAATGTTTAGAGACTATCGAGACAAAGCAGGTGGATGTGGAACCAATTGGAATGCTCTTTCCAAGAGCTGGCAAAGGCTAAGATGGGCTGAATGACATTTTTTTCTATGCTGCATCACTCTTCAGTTAGATAACAGAAGATTATTGTTTGTGAGATCTGAAGAAGGGTCCTGACCTGAAACATCAGTTTTCCTGCTCCTCTGATGCTGCCTGTCCTGCTGTGTTCCTCCAGCTCCACACTGTGTTATCTCAGTATTATTGTTTATGTGGTTTTGAAACAGTGTTGAGCTGGAAACCAGTTTATGTAGTGATTGTGAAACTGCGAACAGATCATTAGCTCAATAAAAACCGAAAGAACTGCAGATGCTGTAAATCAGGATCAAAAACAAAGTTGCCGGAAAAGCTCAGCAGGTCTGGCAGCTTCAGTGAAGGAAAAAACAGAGTTAACGTTTCGGGTCCAGTGATTTGCTCCTTGATTTTATCAGAGCTAGAGAAACACCTAATGCTTCAACCTTCAAATGGAGTTTAGTAAAGTCCTTTACTTATTATTTATTGGGATTATCATCATCTTGTACTGTGAAATCTTACCATTATCCAAAGTTATCATAAAGATGCTTGTACCTGAAATATATCTAGGAAAAGGAAATACTTAAACTTAAGTAATGTCTCACTATCTTTGGATACTCCAAAGAGCTTCTTAGGCAATGAAATACTCTTAAGCGTCGCCACTGTCGTGTAGAAATCAGCCTATATGTGCATGGTAAGATCCCACAAAGAGCAATGTGCTAATTGTTTTTAGTGATGATGGTTTAACATTGATGAATATTGGGCAGGACCCTGGGGAGAGCTCCTTTTGACATAGTGCCACATAATCTTTTGTATTGGCCTGAGAGAGCAGAGGGGGTCTCACACAAAAAAAACCCCTCTGACAGCACAGTACTCAGAGAATCAGCATTAATTGTAGATGCTATATAATCAACCTGTTGTTACACACCACTGGAACAGGTGGGACTTGAATACACGTCCTGTGGTTCAGACGTGGCAAACACTACCACTGCACTACAAGAGCCCTTAACATTTATTGCAAACAGAGGTTTCTGGAATGGGACTAGTCCACAGCATCCAGGCATATGTTCAACCAAAATTAGTAACCCTCCTCAGAAGTCCAGGCATTCTCATGCTACTGTAGTCCCTCTCAGTAGTAGAGCGAACAGAAGAGGGGTGTTCAAGAATGCTGAGTTGCTAATGTTGTTTGTACTGGGGCCCTGTCAAGGTGAAATCTAATTAGCCCAAGGACTTCAATCATAAAAGATGCATGAAACCTAAAGAAAAACATGCATTTATGTTGGATCTTTCACGATCTCAAAGCACTTTCCAGCTATTACAGCACTTATAAAAGTGCAGTTCCTATTTCAATACAAGAAACATGGCCATCAGTTTGCAACTGGTCTATTCCCATGATGCTGATTAAATATTGGCAAGCTCACCAGGGAGAACTCCTCTGCCCTTCGATGCAATGCCATTTGTTTTTTTTTTACGCCTGAGAAAGCAGATCTTAAGATTAATCCTATCTCATCCAAACAAGTCACACCCATGACAGTGCAGTACTCCTTCAGTGCTATTGAAGTATCAGACAAGATTATCGAGCTCCGTTCTCTGGACTGAGATTTAAACCCACGACCCCTTGCTCCAGGTAAAAGTGTAGCCAACTGAGAGTGACTGATACCCTGGATGGGATTTAATGAAGTGGGCACGGTAACAGGATAATGTGGTCAGAAACCTCATCTCAGGGCTCAAGGTGCTGAATTGTAAGGTTGAGCCTCAGGCAATCTTCTTGGAGAGGGATGGAGTTAACACTCATGAGGCTACAGCAAAAAGGGTGGGAGTTTGAGCACCAGTATGGACGACAGTTGGCCCGAATGGCCTGTTGCTATGTTGTATATTTTATGTAGCCATTCCATTCTGTCATTGAAGTGTTTGTTTTATTCTTCTCCCCCATTTGCAGAGCCTGATGGTCTTATTGATTGCCTCAAAGGATTGCGTCTTCAAGAAGCTCCTTGCACTTTCTTTGTTATCCACATTATCGGGGCTGTCGTGCTTTTTATGACGGACGGGATTTTGGTACGTACGTGCTGCTTTGATGGTGTGCAACATTGTGTGCATTGTGAGAAAGGATGTCCATACCTTCTGAGGCTCCTGCTTCCAGTATTCATGTTAAATTAAGTTGTTGCAAACTCCGGTTGAGAACCTGGAGTGAGCTGCTAGCTGGGAAGTGGGTGTGTTATGGGATGCTGTGGGGAGGGTGGAGCAAGCTGCTGGGAACAGAAGCAGGGGAAACAGTGGAGGCCCCCAGAATGGACTGGGAGTAGTGGGGGTGGGGGGGGGGGGGGATGGAGGGGGGGAGGGTGTTATCAACAACTGGGAGCGAAGACAGTGGGTGGGTTGCAGCAGGGGAGTTGCCATAGAGGGGAAGAAGATTGTGAATTGGAAGAAGAGGCAGGGCTTGCTGGGGCTGAGAGAGGGAGTGAGATTAAGGAGAATTTCAGGCTGAGATTGAAGGGAGAGATAAACTAGAGAAATTTCCAGCAGAGACTGGAGAAGGGGAGAAAGTTTCCTGCATGGACTTGGAGGGGAGATGGACTGGATGTGGGGAGGGACAAGATAGTGAAATGGAAAAGTAGTACTGGCAATAGGAGACTGAGGGGGAGAAATAGACAGCAGAGGTTTCACTAGATAAGAAGGAAGGGGAAGGGCACTCACACTCTGGGGGTGGGAAGGCTGAGATTGCCGTCATAGAACCTGTCTTATTGGTTGTTGATAGTGTAGAGAAATAAAGCTGTAGAGTTTTGTGACTATTTACCTGACGTGTGCTTGATCTCTGGCAGGGAGAGTACTCTGGATTCGTATATACCTATGCTGTGGAGAAACCTCTGTACATCGAGGCTAGGGTAGCTGGCTACCTCAGCAGTCTTTTCTGGGCTTCAATCACACTGGGCAGATTGGCATCTATCCCAGTGTCGGGAAAGTTAAAACCTGTGACTATGGTGTTCATAAACCTGGTGAGTATTTTTAGGCCAAATTTTGCTCTCGTACTAACCTAACTAATGACACTTGCTATTATTTATGTGTTGGTGTAAATGATACAGCAGCTTTGGACAGGGCTCAGAGTTGCCACTGTTACTATTCTGCTGGCATTTTCCCCCGTGGTCTTTCCTTTAGACATGAGTAGAAGCCTCATTAACATACATATCTGGGTGCTTGGACTTGCTTGAAAAACCTACCAGTGTCCAAACTATTTTCTTTGACCTCTTTCTATGGTAGATTGTTTCAAATTTCCACCATTATCTGAGTAAAGACATTTTTCCCTATTTTACCCTGCTCTTCCAAAGAAGTCAATTGGGACTCAAGACCTTAGCTGTCTTTCTCCACAGAGTCCCAGGTAGACAGGGTAGTGAAGAAGGTATTTGATATGTTCGTGCTTATTGGTCAGTGCATTGAATATAGGAGTTGGGGGGTCATGTTGCAGCTGTACAGGACACTTTTGGAATACTGCATTCAATTCCGGTCTCCCTGCTATAGGAAGGATGTTGTGAAACTTGAAAGGGTTAAGAAAAGATCTGCAAGGATGTTGCCAGGTTTGGAGGGTTTGAGCTGTAGGGAGAGGCTGAATAGGCTGGGGCTATTTTCCCTGGAGCATTGGAGGCTGAGAGGTGATCTTATAGAGCTTTATAAAATCATGAGGGGCATGGATGGGGTGAATAGACAAGGTCTTTTCCCCAGGATGGGAGAGTCCAAAACTAGAGGGTGTAGATTTAAGGTGAGGGGGGGGAAAGATTTAAAAGGAACCCAAGGGGCAACTTTTTCACACAGAGGGTGGTGTGTGTATGGATTAGATGCCAGAGGAAGTGGTTGAGGCTGGTACAATTGCAACATTTAAAAGGCATCTAAATGGGTGCATGAAGAATAGGAAGGGTTTAGAGGGATATGGGCCAAATGGGACTAGATTAATTTAGGATATCTGGTCAACTGGACCGAAGGGTCTGTTTTTGTGCTGTACAGCTCTATGACTCTATGACACAGATGCTGTCAGACCTGCTGAATTTCTCCAGCATTTCTGTTTTAATTTTGCATTAAAGCATGTTTTGCTATAGTCTCACCAGACCATTGAGCTACTCACTCACTAGAGAGACATGACTGGTGGTAATTTAATCTTGGGACCACTTCACCATATCTTAGGCAAGAGGAGAGGTAAAGTAGGGGAAGCTCTTCATAATAACCTCAGCTAGTGATGGGAATTGAGCCCACACTGTTAGCATCACACTGCTTCAGAAACCAACTATCCAGCCAACTGAGCTACACCTGACCCTCACATTAAAGCATACTCTGTGGTTGCTCTCTTCAATAAAAAAAAGACTGGTGGCGAAGAGTGGGGCTTCTAACCTTAAAATAAAATTAAACTAAAATAAAATTAAGATAAAAAGTCATATAAAACTATTTGTTGGAAGCCAAAAGGGACAAGTGTGCTCCACTTCACTTCCCAAGAATAATGCAGGCTATGAACTTTCTAAGTAAGCTCCTTTATTCCCATCTACCTGCAGTATTGGTGTTTAGCTTTCCTGTTTGTCTTTCCTTGTTTCAGTTTGACTTCAATCTTCTTTCTCTATGAGTCTGATTCTGACCTTGAGCTCAAAGTATGAGCAGTTTCCTGATCAGGAGTGAGCTGATCAGGAGATGAAGCATGATAGGGGTCCACAAAACTAACCTGGCTGCCTGATGCAACACAGACCAATGATTTGAACTGGACATTCTGAGTTGCTATCCCTTAGGCAGTTGTTGGTTCAGGAGCATTCACCTCTGAGTCAGGAACGTCAAGCCCCACTCTTCAGGCTTGAGCAAAAAAATCCAGGCTGTTAGTCCACTGCAGCATCCAGGGAATGCTGCACTGTTAGAAGGTGCTGGCTTCTAGATTGGACAATATACTGAAGTCTATCAGCCCTTCAGATGAACACCCTTTGAAGATGAGTGTACATTATTCGTACGTCTTAGTATTTGAAATGTCCGTGACTAGAATGCACCTTCAGTCTTCCCATTTCTCCCTCTATCTAAATAGGGATGTTGGAAGTCGGAAACAAAAGCAGAAATTTTCTTTTCAATTTTTGTTTTTGTCTCCCTCTATCTAATTCTTGTTGTTGTTTTAACAAAAGACCTAATTTTATGTATCACTTAAAAACATTGCTGTCTTGACGTTTCCCCTTTCTGTGCTGCAGGGTGGAATCATTGGCACCTTTGTCTTGATGCTGTGTTTCCCAGTCAGTGTTGTTTGTCTTTACGTGGGTACAGGACTTCTGGGATTTTTCCTGAGCAGCACCTTTCCCAGTATGTTGGCTTATACAGAAGACATCTTGAATTACCAAGGTTTGTTGCACATTTTGTCAGATGCCGTGCTTTTAACTCCTATCACACTGCCGTGGAATTTGCATTCCTTTATAAATCGTGTAAGTTAAGTTGCCAAAGAATAGCACAGAGACAGACCATTCAACTCAGTTCACTTGAATTGGTGATGATACTCTGTATGAGCCTTCTCCCATTCCTTCTGTCCTATCTACATCTTTCAGCTAATCTTTCTGTTCCCCTTTCGTACACATCTCGTTTCCTTTTGAAAGTATCTAAACTTTTTTCTTTAATAATTTTCTATGATAGAATTATCCAAGCTTTAACCGCTGTATGAGTGAAGACATTTCTCTTTATTTCTCTCATGTTTATGTTTTTGATTTATGCTGCTCAAGCCTTTGAAAATTTTAAAGCGTACTGTAAATTGTCCTCCAAGTCCTCTCCTTATTAAAGAAAAATATTCCTACCTGTTTAATTTTTCCTGAAAGTTGTGTTCTTTGTATTCTGACAAATCTTTTCTGTACCTTCCCATTTGTTCTATTGCCTTTTTATACTCTGCAGACTAAAACTCAACATACACTGCAATTACCCCACAGCCTGAATAAATTCCTGTGCAGGTTTATCATAACTTCACTACTTATGAATACTATACTCCTTCAAAGCAGCTTCCATTCCAAGCACCACTTTGTGCCCCTCCCACACTGTTTCTGCCTAACTGGGCTAAAATCCAGCCTTGTAACTGCAAAGGAACAGGAGGATCCCGCTCATTCTGTGAAATCATAGCTTACCCTCGCCTAACTCCATATATCCCACCTTTGTTCCATATCCCCAAAGACTGCTGAAGGCATGGAATTAGGCTAGTAATCTGAGATTTAGGCTTTTGGTGGGGGCATGTGAACTCATATCTCGCCATGGCAGATGATGAAATTTGAATTCAAACTCTTAAAAAGTTAGCCTGATGACCTTGTAACCCCTGCCAATTGTTGTTGGTCAATAATGCCCTTTAGGAAAGGAAATTTGCCTGGTTTGGCCTACGTGTGATTTCCGGTCTACAGCAATGCAGTTAACTGTTAACCGCCCTTTAGTCAAATGATCCAGCCTGCAATGCCCACATCCTGAGAATGAACTCATCAGTCACTGTTTTAAAGTTAACAGTTGATTTAGATGGCTATTTGTGGAAGAATGTTCCAACTTTCCACCATCCTTTGTGTGAAGAAGTGTTTTCTAATTACAATCCCAAAAGACCTGACTGAAATCTTTAATCTCTGTTGCCAGATCCTAGACTCCCCAGAAGATATTATTTCTCTGTCTCTAGTCCCCTTAATGTCTTGAAGGTTTTAATGAAACTAGACCATTTAATTCTAAGGATTAAACCTTGGAGTATCAATATCATTCTGATAGATCTACTCTCTTCCACTCCCTCCAATGCCTGTATATCCTTCTGAAGTCCTCCAATGCTTTGTTTACCAGAAGTGCAATTTATACATCTTGTATTCTAGTCAAGAATTTTGTTACCCCACAAGTGACCTTGTTTTGTTTAATCTCTCCCAGGAGATTAATTGTTGAGTATGATCAGAGAGAGAAGTCTAGGGATTTTATCTCTGATTCCTCTAGGTGATTGAAAGCATTCAGGATACCTCAGAATACTGTAACTTTTTACATACCTTGAAGCCAGTTGAATAGGTGTTGACTAAACTTTTTTCCCTTCATCTGTTAGGATGTGCAACAACTGTACTGGTGACTGGGGCGGGAATTGGTGAGTTCGCTCTCCAGATGCTTGTTGGATCAGTGAGTAAATGTTTGTTTTTCTAAAAATAGAATTTGTACCAACATATTTAACAGCTTATATTCATGTGCGTCCATAAGGAAATAAAATTGATTGATTTGCAAAAAGCATTTGAATAAGGCTTTTGGAGGCTTCTTAATAACTTTAATACATCCATTATTGAAATCAGAGTAACTGTTATTGGATGTTTTCCAACTTGGAAACTGGATTTATAGTAGAATAGAGATAGAGGGGTGATGGGATCTGACAAAGGTGTTCAAAATGATGAGGGGCTTTGATAAGGCAAAATGAGAAAAACCTGTTATACTGGTTGATTGATCATTCATGAAAGGATATAGAATCAAACAGCACAGAAGAAGGCCATTTGGTCCATCCTGTCCTTGCTGGCAGAGCCCTCCAGTTAGCCCCACTCCCTTGACTTTGTCCTAACGCTCTAAACTTTTTCTGCTTTCCACAATTTATCTCATTCCCTATTGAAAGCCATTAAACCTGCTCCCACCAGCTTACAGCCAGCTAGTGCATTCCACATCATGGGTCTGTACTCGATGGAACTTAGGAGAGTGAAGGGGGTTCTGATCAAAATTTACAGAATACTGAGAGGCCTGGATAGAGTGGGTGTGGAGAAGATGTTTCCACAAGTAGGAGAGACTAGGAGCCAAAGAAATGGCCACAGTGTGAAGGGACAGCCCTTTAGAACTGAGATGAGGAGGAATTTCTTCAGCCAGAGGGTGGTGAATCTATGCAACTCATTGCCACAGAGAGCTGTGGAGGCCAAATCATTGAGTGTCTTTCAGACAGAGATGGATAGGTTCTTGATTAGCAAGAGGATCAAAGGTTACGGTGAGAATGCAGAAGCATGGGGTTGAGAAGCATTTCGATATGATGAAATAGCGCAGCAGACTCGATGGGTTGAATGCATTAATTCTGCTCCGATATCTTATGGCATTATGTCTTTGAGTCTTAAGTGAGAATTGAACCAGAATCTTCAGAAACCCGTGTGTTATCACTGAATGTAGAAAAGATAAACTCCTATCTCCCTGTTTCTGTTGTCACTCATCATCGATCTGTATGGTTACTGACCCTCTTGTCTGTGGAAATGGTTTCCTCGTATCCACCAGAACCCTTTATAATTTCACGCCTCAATCTACCCTGATGGGAATAATTCTGCTTTTCTGAACCCTCTATGTAGCTGAAGTCATTCATACTTTTGAGATAATCACTAAAAGCCAAGAGGGTAACAGGGAAGATCAGGAGAAATCTCTTTCACACAAAATACTATTAGGACATGAGGAGGCCGACCAGAAATAATATTGGAAACAGAGCCCGTAAGGGCTTGAAAATAGGAGGTAGATAAATATTTGAAAGAATATGGAGAAAAGAGTAGAGTGATTGGGAGAGATGGAGAGATGTTTTCGGAGCTGCTGCTGGAGAAAGGCCGACTTTACTCCTGGAAGATTCTTCTGGGTAATGTCCAACTTTTCAAAGAGGACAGGAAAGGGTTGGTGTTGAGGCGTTCAGCAACTGGTCATACACACCGCCATGAGGTCAATCAGGGGCTGGTTCACTGCCCCAAGTTCCACGATCTCATGGAAATTGAAAATGGCCTTCTTCTGATTTTAGCTGACCACCATTCTTTCAACATGCTGACTAATTCACATTGTGATTCCTTTCAGGTTATTCAGTCACCTGAAACTGATATATTTCTTGTGTGTGGACTAACATTTGGCTGTCTTGCTCTTCTCTTCTACCTGGTTCTTCTACTGGTGCACAGATTACACAGTCATCAGACCATGGCAGGTAAGCAGACAAGAGAAGAATTTTGTTTCAGAACATTAGATTTTGACCTAGAAATTTGTCTGCACTGGGACATTTGCACGTTCAACAATTTGGCATTGGGACATCCTGTACCCAATCTAGACTTGGTTGGAAATTTCATGGGTCCTTTTCTCAGGTTCCCTTGATGAGATCTGTGAAATGGGAGCAACTTTTTGGATAAACTCAAGTCATAGGAGTTATGATCAGTTGCCCCGCATCCCCACTCCCATTCCCACTAATTCTGCAATCCCCCTACTTACCCACTCACAGAACATAGTTTAGTATCTGTGTAAGCAAGGCAGATGACAACCCATGCTACGGCTTCTAAATTTATATAATTCTTCGTGTGAAGAATACTTTCTAATTTGATTTGTTTTACAGAATCATACAGCACAGAAACAGACCCTTTGGTTCAACTTGTCCGCACTGACCACGCAACCGAGTATGACCTGATCCCATTTTCCAGCATTTGGCCCATATCCCTGTGAACCCTTACTATTTATATACCCATCCAGATGCCTTTTAAATGTTGTAATTGTACCTGCCTCCACCACTTCCACTGGCAGCTGATTCGAATTGTTTGCCACCCTCTGCATGAAAAAGTTACCCCTCAGGTCCTTTTTAAATCTTAGCCCTCTCACCTTAAACTTATGCCCTCTAGTTTTGGACTTCTCTACCCTCGTAAAAATACTTTGGCTATTCACCTTATCCATACCCCTCATGATTTTATGAACCTCTAAAAGGTCATCTCTCAGACTTCAACACTCCAGGGAAAATAGCCCCAGCCTATTCAGCCTCTCCCTGTAGCTCAAACCCTCCAATCCCAGCAACATCCTTGTAAGTTTTTTCTGCACCTACTCAGTTTTAACAACGTCCTTCTTATAGAAGGGCGACCAAAATTGTACGCAGTATTCTAGGAGTGGCCTCACCAACGTCCTGTACGGTCACAACATGACATCCCAACTTCTATATTCAATGTTCTGACCAATGAAGGCAAGTGTGCCACATGTTTTCTTTACCACCCTGTCCACCTGTGATTCCACTTTCAATCCTTAGGTCTCTTTGTTCGGCAACACTCCTCAGGGCCCTACCATTAATTGTATAAGTCCTGCCTGGTTTGCCTTTCCAAAATGCAACACCTCACATTTATCTAAATTTAACTCCATCTGCTACTATTCGGCCCATCTGATCAAGGTCCCATTGTACTCTGAGATAACTTTCTTCACTGTCCACTACATCACCTATTTTGATGTCATCTGCAAAGCTACTAACCGTACCTCCTGTATTCAAATCCAAATCATTTGTATAAATGACGAAAAGCAGTGAGCCTAACACCGATCCTTGTGGCACGCTGCAGGTCATAGGCCTCCAGTCCAAAGAGCAACACTCTTTCTCCTATCTTCAAACCAATTTTGAAACCAATTGGCTAGCTCCCCCTGGATCCCATGTGATCTAACCTTACCAACAAGTCTACCATGCGGAACCTTGTCGAACACTTTGCTGAAGTCCACATAGACAATGTCTACCGTTCTGCCTTCATCAACCTTCTTTGTCACCTCTTCGAAAAACTCAGTCAAGTTAGTGAGATTTCCCATGCACAGAGCCATGTTGACCATCCCTCATCAGTCCGTGCCTTTCCAAATGTCCTGTCCCTCAGAATCCCCTCCAACAACTTACCTACCACTGATGTAAGGCTCATCAACCTGTAGTTCCCTGTCTTTTCCTTGTAGCCTTTCTTAAATAATGCACCACATTAGTCAACCTCCAGTCTTCCAGCGCCTCACCTGTGGCTGTCGATGATGCAAGGGGCCCATCGATCTCTTCCCTAGCTTCCCACAAAGTTCTGGGAAACACCTGATCAGGTCCCAGGCATTTATCTACCAATGTGTTTTCAAACCTCCAGCACTACCTATTCTGTAATATGAACTCTTTTCAAGATGTCACTGTTTATTTCCCCAAGCTCCCTAACTTCCATATCCTTCTCCACAGTAAATTCTTATGCAAAATATTTGTTTAGTATCTCACCCATCTCTTGTGATTCCACACATAGACAGCCACATTGATCTTTAAGAGGCCCTATTCTCTCCCTAGTTACTCTTTTGCCCTTAATGTGTTTATAGAATCTCTTTAAATTCTCCTTAACTCTATTTGCCAAAGCTATCTCATGTCCCCTTTTTGCCCTCCTGATTTCTCTCTTAAGCAACTCCTCCTGCCCTCATACTCCTGTAGGGATTCACTCGATCCCACTTGTCTATAGCTAACATTTCCCTCCTTTTCTTGACCAAAGCCTCAATTTCTCTAGTCATCCAGCATTCCACACACCTACCAGCCTTGCCCTTCACACTAACAGGAACTCTCTGAACTCTCATTATCTCATTCTTAAAAGCCTCCCACTTCCCAACCATCCCTTTACCTGTGAATAGCCTCCCCCGATCAACTTCTGAAAGATTCTGTCTGATACTATCAAAATTGGCCTTACTCCAATTTAGAACTTAAACTTTTCGATCAGTTCTATCTTTTTCCATAACCATTTTAAAACTGAAAGAATTATGATCACTTGCCCCAAAGTGCTCCCCCACTGACATCTCAGTCACTTGCTCTGCCTTATTTCCCAAAAGAAGGTTAAGTATAGAATTTCATAGAATCGCTACAGTGTGGAAACAGGCCATTCAGCCCAACAAGTCCACTCTAAAGACCATCCCACCCAGACTCACCCCCTACCCTAACTCTGTATTTCCCATGGTTAATCACCTAACCTGGACACTAATGGCAATTTAGCATGGCCAATCCACCTAACCTGCACACCTTTGGACTGTGGGAGGAAACCAGAGCACCCAGAGGAAACCCACACAGACACATATTGCTCCTTCTCTAGTGGATGCATCCACATATTGAATAAAAATGTTTTCTTGTAAACAATTAACAAATTTCTCCCCATCCAAGCCATTAACACTGTGACAGTCCCAGTCTATGTTTGGAAAGTTAAAATCCCTTACCATTATAACTCTATTATTCTAACAGATATTTGAGATCTCCTTACATATTTGCTTCTCAATTTTCCACTGAGTATTGAGGGGCCTATAATACAATTCCAACAAGGTGATCATCCCTTTCTTACTTCTCAGTTCCGCCTATATAACTCCACTGGATAATCTCCCAGGAATGTCCTCCCTTAGTACAGCCGTAATGTTATCCCTAACCAAAAAATCCACTCTCCCTTACATACCAAATTTCAGTGAAAAGTATTATTTTGCTTGCTAACCAGATAAATACTATAGTATGTAAGTACATCAGGGTAATAGAACAGAATTGAGAATTCTGTTACAGCTACAGAGAAGTTGCAGAGGAAGATCATCTCAAATGTATGAGAGGTCCATTCATAAGTCTGATAACAGCGGGGAAGAAGCTGTTCTTGAATCTGTTGGTACGTGTTTTCAAAATTTTGTATCTTCTGCCTGATAGAAGAGGGTGGAAGAGGGTATAACCAGGGTAGATCTCTTTGGGATTCATGAAGAGTGCTGAGCCAAGATGTCACTAGAATAGGGACACTGTTTAACGAATACAGGGCCTTCTATTTAAGGTGCGGATGAGGACTTTTGCTTTTGAGATCTGTGAAACTTTGGACTTCTCCTCCCCAACATTTGTAGAGGTGGTGGTCATTGAATATTTTTACAGTAGAACGAGATAGATTCTTGACTAACAAGGGAGTCAATGGCTATTGAAGGCAGGTGAGAACGTAGAGTTGAAGGCACAATCAAATCTGTGATTGAGCCACAATCAGCCTCGGTTTTATTGAATGATACAGTAGCCTGGAGGGGCTGAGTGGTTTACCCGTCATAATTTGTATGTTCACATATTATGCTTTTACTCTGTTGATTTTCCACACTGTGTTTTGTCAATATGTTCTGGGGCAGAAAGAGCTGCTACTCATATTCAAATCTCATTGTCTTTGTTTTTTCAGCACCTTCGAAAACAGGCACGATAGAGGAGTCAAAGTTTTCATACCAGAGCTGAGGTTTAGCAAGCGACCGGCCACTGTAATGTGCAGTAGTTCTGAACAGATTCAATGCAATATTGGAATAGACTGAATGCCAGTACAGGCTTTAACAATGGACATTACTGCGTTAAATCGCCTATTTGAGAAGTGGCAAGGTCGCTTTTGTCTATACTTCTGTTTTAACTGATGCGTCTCACTAATTGATGTGGCTGCAATAATCTTCCTAAGAGAATGGACATTGAAGGTATAATGTACCAGAGATCACCTTAATAATCATGTGGAACCTGAATTAACTGCTTCATGTCTTTTTTTTAAGTAGAACTGTTTTTTAAAAAACACACACACACTTGATTCTATCAGGTAAATGATCTTTCTTGCTTAATCCTCTTCTTTTGTTTAAAAAATATTGCCAAATATCAATAGAGTGAGAACTTGGAACATTATAGTTACAATTTCATTAATGGTAAAAATGAAGGTTCTTAAAGTAGATGCAATGTACAAAATCTTAATGCATTAGCCTGAAGTTCCTCTTTCTGTATTTCTTCACAGAAGACAGTTGAAGTTAAAGGGGTCTGTAACTCTGTTACAGCTTAAATGTATTTTTATCTCTTTGAGAGAGTGATGGAGATTTGCAAGATGACATTCTTTGTCCATCTGTTTTGCTGAGCTAGTCATGCTGGTCGTGGTGAGATGTTGTTTCAATTCCTTGAGACTTAACTATTGTAGATGCCCCCCCACCACAGAGACGACAGCATTCCAAGATTAAGGCCCACTGCCACTTCTTTCTCCAGTGAATCTTGGAATTGGCAATAAATATCAGCTTTGCCAACAACAACCTGCAACTGAACTAATCTGGTTGTTGTTGCAGGTTCCCTTTCCCGAAGACTATTTGTGCTTTGGGTTTTTGCAGCAATTTCTATGCTTGCTCTTTTCCGAATAGTCTCAAATCAGCCTTTACCAGAGTTGCTACATCCAATTTCTTGCCATGGTGGGATTTGAGCAACCACGTTCTGGATGATGAGTCCAATGTTATAGCAGAGAGAGGAATTTCTGGCAAGTCTGTTAAGTATTTGCGTGTTGGTTTCCTTCCATTCTCACAATGGGGGCTAGAAAGATGAAAAGGAAAGACTTATACTTGGATACACAAAGAACTGTAATCACTGTTGTAATGTGAAGATTGAAGCAACTATTTGGTGTACAGCACAGGTGACTTCAGTTAATTTTACCATGATGGGTAGAGGGAGGAGTATTTGCAAAGATACCAGGAGAACTTAAGAAATAGGAGCAGGAGGCCATTCAGCCCTAGAGTTGGAAGGTACTATCGATGAGTCTATGAGCATACTCAAGTCTGACATCAGTAGTGTTTTGAAACTAAGAAAATCAGAAGCTTGGACAAGATAATGGAGTTAAAGGAGAAGATCAGATATTAGGGATGGACAATAAATGTTGGCCTAGCCAGCAACACCCTCCTCCTGTGAATGAATAAAGTAAAAAAAGCTACTGATGGATTATTTAATATCCCTGAATGCCCCTCCCCACCCTAAATATCAAATAGAAACCCATTCATTTGAAATCCTTTGAGGATTACATTGGCACTGGGATCAGAGGAAATCTCTAATTTTCTTTATCATGTTACTAATCCAAGATCAGTCATCTCTCCCTCATCTCAGAAATGGGCTGAGAATGGAAATCTGAGACGTGGTTTTCCGAGGAAATTAATAAGGCTTCCGAGGGAGGAAATATGCAGAATTAAAGGGAAAGGGCTGAAAATTAGTCCTGCAAGGGAAATAGTAAGGACTCGATGGATTAAATGGTCTCTTTCTGAGCTGTAATTGTTCTATAAGCCAATAATATGACAATACATTGAAGCAGCAGCGTATTCCCTGGCACCAACAGGACAGTAAATGAATATGGAATGCATGCTATTGGTATGACCTACATAATCTGACCCTTTAGCTGAGGTTACAAGATCTGTGGGACCAAGTTTGCCTTTAATTATATTCTCCTGTGTATATTCTTGTCTTGTCTGAGCCTTGAGGAAAAGGGACCTTGCTGTTGCTCATCCAACCATGCTCGCAGACTAACATCACTGAAAAATGCGCGAAAATATTCATTTATAGACGTTTGATCAATGAAGGAGTGGTTATTTGAGCCCCGCTTCCCATTGTCACTCATGCCTCAGTGATAGTGCCCTTACCTCTGAGCCAGAAGACAGGCTGCTTTCTGACTTTTTAGCACAAAGTCAATTGTATTACAGAAGATGAAGCTTTCTTTTCCCTTTTAATGCCACAGGATCTTCTACTTGCCCCTATTTTCAAAGAAGAGCAGGGGAGTTCTCCTTGGTGTTCTGGATTAACATTTCTCCCTCAATCAACACCTTCAAAATGACCCACAAATATCTGCCCGTAATCGCACTAATTGTGTGCTGCATTTTCTATATTACAACAGTGACTGCACTTTAAGAGCATTTCAGTGGCAGTGAAGCATTTTGACAAGTCTTTGTCTTTTTAAGGGTTGAGATCTACAACTAATTTATTAGTCACTAGCTGCCTCACTCGCGGCACAATAAGCTAGCTGGAAGAGTTGCTATGTAGTGGTAACAGTTAGCTGTAGGCTCTTCTGGCACATCAGTAATGTTCCTACCTCTGAGCCTGGAGGCTCAGGTTGAAGTCTGACCTGCTCCAGAGGTGTGTAATAATATCTCTGCACAGGTTGATTCTATTGTCAAGTAATACGCCAATACCACCAGGGGTAAAAAAAAAACATCTTTTGTAACACTTGAATCATATAAAGTTGCTCTAAATAATGTAACCTGTTTTTGTTTTTATTCGTTAACCTGTGCAGTGTTGCAGAAAGTTGATATTTCTTTTTTTTTTGCCTTGTAGACTGAAAAGGAGATGCTTTATGTGTTTTGTTATTTAAAAATGTTCTTTATGAAAGTTGATTGGTTGTTTTTCAACAGTTGGACTTAATCAGCTGATTAATCAGTGCACTGGATTCAGGATGTGCCTTGTGTTCTGACAACAAAGGAAATGTTAGTTAATATATATATATTAAAGATATTATGAAAAACTATTTGCTTCCATCTTTTTTATATAAGTTTGGCCTTTGATCCCAAGATTGGGTGCAATGAAGATGTTTTAGACTGTTTCATCTTATTCCTTCACATTGCCAAGTTTCCAATCCAAATCATTGGGTCACAACTTTTCCAAGGGAACCTTTTCATGGTGGCCCTCCATCCCAATGTATCAATTCCTTCACCTTTGCCCTAGCACTCCCATCCAAACCTGCCTTTTCTAACCTTCCAAAGCCAACTTCTCATTATATCAATCCAATTGAGCTCTTCCTGAAGACACTACACTGCCTTCATATTGAAATACTTCCTTGGACCGTAAGATATCAGAGCAGATGAAGGCCGTTCATCCCATTCAGTTTGCTCTGCCATTCAATAGAATCATGACTGATTTGATAATCCTCAACTCCATTTTCCTGCCTTTTCTCTATAACTCTTGATTCCCTTCCTGATTAAAAATCTCTGTCTCTGCCTTGAATATACTTAACGACCCAGCCTTGACAGCCCTGTAGAGTAAAAATTCAAACATTCGTTAAAATAAAATAGAATAAAAGGGTTTGAGTTATAAGGAGAGGCTGGATAGTCTGAAAGTTTCTTCACTGGAGTGTAAGAAGTTGAGATGTAACCTTAGAGGTTTGTAAAACAATGAGGGTATTGATAAGGTGAATGGTGGGTGTCTTTTCCCTACGGTGAGGATTTCAAGACTAGGAGGCATATTTTTAATGTGTGAGGAGAAAGATTTAGAAAAGACGTGAGGGGCTTTTGTTTTAAACAGAGTGGTTCATGTGTGGAATGAACTGCCAGAGGAAGTGGTGGATACAGGTTCAGTTACAACATTTAAAAGACATTTAGATTAGTACATGAATAAGAAATGTTTGGAGGGACAAAAACAGAAGTTGCTGGAAAAACTGAGCAGGTCTGGCAGCATCTGTGAAGAAAAAATCAGAGTTAACATTTCGGGCCCATAGATGCTGCCTGACCTGCTGAGTTTCTCCAGCAGTTTCTGTTTTTGTTTCAGATCTTCAGTTTCTGCAGTTCATTATAGTCATAGCTTCATAAAGAGACAGCCCTTTTAGGCCAACCAGTCCATGCCAACCATAATCCCAAACTAAACTAGTTCCACTTGTCTGCACTTAGCCCATATCCCTCAGCAGGTCTGGCAGCATCTGTGAAGGGAAAATCAGAGTTAACATTTCGGGTCCAGTGACCCTTCCTCAGAACTGATGGTAGCTGGGAAAATGTCAGTTTATATGCAGAAAATAGGGAGGGGGATGGTGTAGGGAGTAATCGATAGGATAGAGCCCAAAGAGAGAGAGAAGAGCAGTTGGGTAGACGAAGGAATTGATAACAATCCGGCTGGGAGGGTGAATACCTGTTAATGGAGACTGTTAGTAACTAACAACAGATGGTGTGTAATGGCAGGCTATGTGATAACGTGGCCTGGTGTGTGGGCTAGGGGGCTAGGACATGGGAGAGTTTAGGCCCTAAAATTATTGAACTCGATATTGAGTCCGGGGGTGCTGCAGGGTCCCCAAGCAGAAAATGAGGTGTTTTTCTTCCAGCTTGCCCTGAGCTTCACTAGAACACTGCAGCAAGGATCTGTTTCCATCCTGTATGACTCTATGATCATATGAGGAAGAATTTCTTCATTCAGAGTTGTGAACCTGTGGAATTCTCTCCACAGGAAGCTGTTGGGGCTGGTTCATTAGATAGATTCAAGAGGGAGCCGGATGTAGCCCTTGCGGCTATAGGGATTAAGGGGTATGGAGAGAAAGCGGGAGTGGGATACTGAAATTGGGTGATTGGTCATGATCATATTGAATGGTGGTGCAGGCTTGAAGGTCCAAATGGCCTATTCATGCACATATTTTCTATGCTTCTAAAGAGTTGTTCCTTCACTCTGAGGCTGTGCCCTCAGGTCTTAGTATCTCCCACTAGTGGAAACATCTTCTCCACATTCACTCTATTCAGGCCTTTCAGTATTCTATAAGTTTCAATTAGATCCCCTTCATCCTTCTAAACTCTAAGTACAGACCCAGAGTCCTCAACCACTCCTCATGACAAGTCCTTCATCCCCAGGACCATTATTGTAAACCTCCTCCGGACTCCTTCCAATGCCAGCACATCCTTTCTTAGATATATGTCCCAAAACTGCTCACAATATTCCAAATCTGGGCTGGCCAGAACCTTATGCAGCCTCAACATTACATCCCTGCCCTTGTATTCTAGCCTTCTCCCAGGGCCTGCTCCTGTTGAGTCCCATAAGAACCTTGTGTGTTTCAGTAAGGTTCTTCGAATGAGTACAGGCCCAACCAATGCACAAATCTCCGATCATGTCTGAAAATTGTGGGAGCTGAGACCCACTCCATAGGCCTGACTGTGTAATTTACTCAGACACTCCGATGCAGTACTGAGGGAGCGCCACTCTGAAGCAGGTGCCATCTAATGTCCATTTGAGGCCTTGTCTATTTTTGCAAGTGGATGGTAAAGATCGCCATGCTACTACTTAGGGTGGCACGGTGGCTCAGTGGTTAACACTGCTGCCTCACAGCACCAGGGACCCGGCTTTGATTCCACCCTTGGATGACTGTCTCTGTCGAGTTTGCACATTCTCCCCGTGTCTGCATGGGTTTGCTCCAGATTCCTCCCACAATCCAAAGATGTGCAGGTTAGGTGGATTGGCTATGCTAAATTGCCCATAGTGTTCAAGGGATGCCTAGATTAGGGGGGTTAAAGGGGGATGGGTTGGTGTGGACTTGTTGGGCCGACGGGCCTGTTTCCACACTGTAGGGATTCAATGTTTCTATACTACCTGGAAGTAGAATAAGGGAGGTGTCCTTGAAACCTGACCAGTATATCCCTCAGCTACTATGATCAGAACAGATTTTGATTTTATTGTCAGGAGTACAGTGAAAAGTGTACAAAATCGCCATGCTCCAGTGCTATCTTTGTATACAAAAGACAGGGTTAAAACAGAAGCAGAAGTAAAAGGAACAGCTAAAAGAAAAGGTACTGTCCAGATCAGTCTCCCACTTCCACCATGAATCCCGGCCGCCAGAGAAACTAAGCCACAAAAGTCCATCCCTCAGTCTGCGAAAACTCAGGTGCGTGAGTCCCCACACACCATTACCGCCAGGCCGTCACCATCTCCGCTGTCACATACACATGGTCCAACCATGACATGGAGCCACCCCACCATTGCTGGAATCCTGTGGCCATTCTTCAGTGCCATCTTGTCTCCAACTGGGTGGCACGGTGGCTCAGTGGTTAACACTGCTGCCTCACAGCGCCAGGGATACAGGTTCGATTCCACCCTCGGGCAACTGTCTGTGTGGAGTTTGCACATTCTGCCCGTGTCTGTGTGGGTTTCCTCCCACAGTCCAAAAATGTGCAGGTTAGGTAGATTGGCTGTACTAAATTGTCTGTAGTGTTCAGGTACGTACGGGCTAGGTGGATTCTCCATGGGAGATGCAAGGATAGGGCAGGGGGAATGGGTCTGAGTGGGACAACCTTCAGAGGGTCAGTGTGCATTCAATGAGCTAAATGCCCTGCTTCCACAGTGTAGGGATTCTATGACTCATGACTCATCGCCATGAGTCCACTGAAGCTGCCAGGTCACAAACTAGGCACAAACTCTGGGACTATACTCATTGGAGTTTAGAAGGATGAGGGGGGATCTAATTGAAACTTACAGAATACTGAATGGGCTGGGCAGAGTGGATGTTGGGAAGATGCTTCCATTGGTAGGAGAGACTAGGACCCAAGGGCACAGCCTTAGAGTAAAGGGAAGGCATTTTAGAAAGGAGATAAGGAGAAACTTCTTCAGCCAGAGAGTGGTGAATCTGTGGAATTCACTGCTACAGAAGGCTGTGGAGGCCAGGTCATTGAGTACATTTAAGACTGAGACAGATAGGTTCTTGATTATCAAGGGGATCAAGGGTTACGGGGTGAAAGCAGGAGAATGGGGTTGAGGAACTTATCAGCCATGATTGAATGGCGGAGCAGACTCGATGGGCCAAATGGCCTAATTTCTGCTCCTATGTCTTATGATCTTATGGTCTTAAACTCGATGCTCAGCCAGCCTGTTTATCTCATCAATGGGGGGAACTTGCTGTGTGTAAGTCAGCTCCCACAGTTCCAACAGAGACTATACATCACAAAATACTTCATTGACAGAGGACTTTAGCACATCCTGTGTTTGTGAAAGTTGCGACACAAATGCAAGCTGTTTTGTTTTACATGCCCTCACATGCAATGCTGCCCACTGGCCTGCAAAATGATATTTGCGTTCACTTAAAGTTATACACAACAATGACTGGAGTAAGTGTTAAGAAAATTAGATGGTAAATTCAGTGTGTTGGTGCGCTTACACAAGAACAAAACTACTTTTTTGGAAGCAAAGCACTTAACTGGGCTCCAGATAAGCTGAGGGTCTGCCTATTATTAACTTTTCTTATCCAATCCCACCTTCATTCCAGGACATTTGGCTCCAATGAAGGAAAAACATGTACATTCTTGATGGAGTGAATGGCTTGTTTCTATGCTGTAAGTTTCTATTTTTCAACCAGTGCTGATTTTTCCTGATGTAGCCTCCACTGACACTCAGAAGCAGCAGTGTGTACAAGATACACTGCAACAATACCCCAGGGTTCCTTCGGCAGCACCTTCCAAACCCACACCTAGCCACCACCTAGAAGGACGAGGGCAGTAGCTGAATTGGAGCACAACCACAGGCAAGTCACACACCATCCTGAAATAACATGGAACAAAGAACTGTGGGTACTGAAGATCTGAAACAGAAACAGAAATTACTGGGAAACTCAGCAGGTCTGGCAGCATCTGTGGAGAGAAAGCAGCATTAACATTTCGAAGAAGGGTCACTGGACACGAAATGTTAACTCTGCTTTCTCTCCATAGATGCTGCTACACCTGTTAAGTTTCTCCAGCAATTTCTGTTTTTGATCCTGAATTGATGTATTGCTGCTCACTGTAGCTCGGTC